CTTGAGCCACAGGCGCCAAGCCGAATTAGGCCTATTTTTAATAGTCACTCTCAGGCAATAAGAAACTACATTTATCTGAATCGACCAGTCCCCATGGGTGCTGCATAATGGGGAAATTACTATAGGTACCCAGTGAATATTAATCTCTTTCTTAAGCAATTGGCTTCGACTTATTTTCAAGACATATCATTTGTTATTTTCCGGCACACAACTTATACCACTCATAGGCCAATCACTCCTGAAACATATTTTGCATACTCCAATTTTTTGCTCAGACCTTCTGAAATCATTTCTATTTTAAGTATATATCAGAATCCTGCCTATTTGTAAGTTCTAGGTAACATTTAACTTTCTCCAAGAGATCTTCTTTGATGTCTTATTTCTAAATTTCAACACACTCATTTTTTAACTAATGCTATTGGCATTTTCCAATTGAAAAATTATTCAAGGGAGAAGGCAGAACCTGTAAGGTGAGCAGATCTTACAAGGATGTTTAGAAAGGCAGTACAATCCCATGAGAAGATCCATTGTTCTGTGCAATTGCTGATGTGCTAGTGAGGACACAACCCTCGTCAGCACGCCAGTGCATATAATATCTAGGGAGAGAAACATTCCATCTAAAGCAGCGATTCTCAACCTGTGAGTTGTGACCCCTTTGTAACAATGACAACACATCCTGCATATCAGATATTTACACTACGATTCATAACAGTAGCAAAATTACAGTTATGAAGTAGCAATAAAAATAATTTTATGCTTGGGGGTCACCACAACATGAGGTGTATTAACTGTATTAAAGGGCTGCAGCATCAGGAAGGTTGAGAACCACTGATTTAAAGAATTCTTGAACGGCTCGCAGTCTTCTTAAGTGCCTCATTGAGAAATAAAGTAGGGTGGTTGGGGTTAAAACACTCGCCTCTTAGGTTCAAAAAGCGGCAAGATATTTTTAAAGTGCTGTTTCTATTTCTAAGCCTTCTACAGAGGAGCTGTAGTATTTGGGAACACCAGTAGTACAATTATCCAAATCTGAAACTTCAGAGTTATTTCCGTGCTACATTACTACTCTACTGGCTTGACACCAGTCAAGTCCTTTACTGTTTATTAAGCTTGTATAAATAGAATGGAAAATAGTTTATAGTCTCTGACACTGATCTTCCCTTATGTCTTCAGTAAAGTTCCACGTATGCTGATGGGATTCTATAAATACCAAATAACAGCCAGAGGCACGGAACAGGGTATCACTTTGCAAAGCGAAGACAGACAGTTAAATGAGCCTTCAGAATTGAACATTTCAAACAGTTTTCGCATGTGGCTTCTGAATACTACTCTGAACAATTTTGGGGAGTTGGAACATGGCCTTTAATGTGCATGGTTTTGAAATTTTCCTTTAAGATGCCATTATAAGCTGCAATAAAGCATTTCAGTGTGCTCTCACACCTCAAAGTAGGTTATGTTTATTCAGTGACTGCTTACTATGTCATATCTTTGGACTGAAAAGCAGCTGCTGTAATTGCAATGCTTTAAAAGTGGTATATATAATTCTGTTCCTGAAGTTTTCATTGAAAAGAGGAGCAAACCAGATATATGGATAATGTTGGAAGGAGTTAGTCTCTAAGCAAATTCCACACACATTCCAAGCAAGAATTCAGATAAAAAATTATTGCCAATGCACTCTGCTTACTTTAGTGTTACAGATGACATAAACATTCGATACCAATCCTCCTTCCTGGACTATGTCCTCGGGACTGTGACACTGTCGTGATCCATGTAACATGCCATACTTGGCAGAGAGGCTCTGTCTTGATTTAAGAGACCAACCCTTTCCAAGATATGCATTAGACATGGATTTCAGCCAAATCGCAGCACACTCAGCGTATATGAAATACCTGAATGACGAAGCCAGGCGTCTTTTTTCTTTAAAACTAAATGTTCACTACTGCATTGACAGTCTACATTTAATTCTTCTAGACACAGCTTCATTTATCATATATGAGTAACAGATACAGCCACTTGCATTTTAAGGTGCCATATGTTCTTAAGACTTGAGGGTTTTTTTTAAACACATATTTTAATTTCAGTGCTATAAATCCAGGCTAGCTGGATATTTTATCCATCCTACAGACTTGATGAGCTTGATTGATATGTGCTGCAACATTATCAAACGTGCTAGTGTGCTAATAACATAAACAGCTATCGCAGATCACTTTGATGATAAATATCACTTTCCTAATAGTGATTTACAACAGCTTTAATGTTCTAACTTGACACTCATCCCAATCTGATTTTCTTTTAATCTGGAGAAAATCTGTTTTCTATCTCTTATTTCACATACAAATACATAGGTTTCAAATGAACTTAACGTTGTTAATTCTTGCAGCCATTTAGAAATAGAGAGGAATCAACACTCAAATGACCAAGTGATGATTTTCATGTTGAGTATATTGTTACAATAAAAAGATAGGTATATTCAAATTTATTTAGCAAATATTCATCAGAAGTGTAATACACACCAGATGGTACATGAGGAATGGATACATGTATTTGAGAGAATACAGGCACACTAAAAAGTGCTATTACAGGGTATTTGTGGGGTACTAGGAAGGGGCACATACCCAATTTGGAAGATAAGAGGAATTCTTTTTTCCTAGAGGAACTGAGTCTAAAAATCAGTAGAAGTTTTCAAGGTAAATAAGTAGAGAGAAAGATCAAAGCTTGAGAAGAAAAAATTACTATGCCAAGAAACTAGCTGGTAGAAGGGCCCAGAAATCAGAGGGCAGATATATTGAGGGCTGGAATGGAAGTTGGCCTGGCCCTACAGGAGACCACAGAAGGGAACAAAGGACATGAGCAGGAGAAGTTGAAGAGGACGGGACACAACAACACCCTGACAAGCCTGGTCATTAAGTCTGTGCAACTGAAAAGTGAGCATTACTTTCCCTGAGAGGGGAGACACTCAGGAGTATCAAATGGACATGAAAAAGGAGGGTTCAGATCATGAGTGTGGTCTTAAATTTGCAGATACTCAAGTGGCTACACCATGTATCAAGCAGGCAGTTGTACATATGAGTTTGGGGCTCAAATGAAAAATCTGGCTGAAGACATAAATTCATGAGCTACTTGTATATCTGAAGTCATGGGAATAGATGAGATCACCTAAGAAGAAAATATAGAGTGAAAACAAAATAGCATCTGGGTTAGACAGAAGAATGCGACAGAGATTTAGTGGGAAAGCCAGGTCTTTATTGTACCGTGGAAACCAGAGCACGTGAGTGTTTTCAAGATCCAATGGGTGGTCAACTGTGTCTACTAGAGGACCAAGTAAGAAGAACCTGGGAAACTATTCATTAGGTTACTTTCCACGAGACTTCTTGATGATAGTGTGGGAGATTTGTTTTTCTGAAATCTATCGTAATAAAAGCTGGAATATGGGGTTCAAGGAAAGGAAAGAGTAAGCGCACCAGTTCAAGGTGGTTATGAGCTCCAGGGAAGGCTTGTGTGGTTGAGTAGAAGAATCCTAAATATGTTAGAAAATTGAATGTGAATGGTGCAACACAGAAGAAATTATACAAGATAAAGGAGGAATAGTCAGGAAGATATCCACGGAGGGAAGATGCAGATGGCATCCAGGGCACAGGTGGAGAGACTGGCTTTGGCAAGGAGGAATTAAAATTCTGCTATATAGGAGAAAGTAGATAGAGTGACGTATGTTGGGCTGAAGTGTGTTAATGCAGGAGATAAGAAGGCAACCATATGATGCCTGCTATATTTTTCCCCATTCCTAGTAGGACCATCTTCCCTGTCGTTTGGCTGCTTCCATTACTGCTTGTACGCAGATGCTACACTGGGAGAAGCATTTCATCAGCTGGGTGCAGTGACATTGAGGTACAGTGGAATTCAGGTCGCTGACAGAATTCTTATTGGAATAATGGAAAGCTCAAGAAATTGAAGAGGGACTAGCGGCATCAGGGCCAATGAACTCAGAGAACCTATCGCCACTTTTGATAACTGCAACTCAAACCCACAGCCCACTCAACCAGAGGCAAGTATTATCACTCTTAACTAATAAGACAGTATATAATCTGCATAGAACTTCTTCTTTCCAAGTAAAGATTTACAGGAAGTTACAAAAATAGCAAAGAGAGACCCCATTTACCCTTAACTCAGTGTCCCCCATGGTGACATCTTAGTAGCTATAATACAACAGCAAATCGGGGAATTGGCACATGTGTGTATAATTTCATGCCATTTTATCACAATGCAGATTTGTGCAACCATTGCTGCGGTCAAGACGTCACACCATTCCATTAGCATGACGTCTCCCTCACGCCATCCCTTTACAGCAACACCCATCAGTACCAGCATCCCCAATACCTGTGATCACTAATTAAACTGTCATCTCTATAACTTTGTCACTTCAAGATTTTGACCACGTGGAATCACAAACATGTGATACTTTGACATTGACATTCTCATTCTGTATGATTTTCTGAGATCCATCAAGTTGTGGCCTGTGTCAAAAATTTGTTTCTGTTGATTACTGAATAGTAGTCCACAGTCACTCAGGAGTTCAGTTTCCACATTGTATATAGCAAGTTCATTTTTCATGATTTAAGGAACTGACAAACTATTTTCAAGGTGGCTGCACAGTTTTACATCCCTACCAGCAATGTCCTCCCCATCCTCACCAGTATGTACTGTTATCCGTACTATTTAATGTTAGTAGTTCTAATAGGTACGTTAGTATTATTTCATGTTTTTTAAAATATATTTTTGTCAGTGCTTGTGGTTGTTAGAAGTAAAGGCAGTGAAAAATGAAGTTGAGAAATATTTGGAAAATAATCCGTAAAATAACTTCATGATTGGAAAACACTTTGTTAACCTAGATGGATATTTAAGTAAGATGGTGGTGAAACTCACACTTTATCCTTACCAATGCAAACAGTGTAACCCGATCATGTGCATCTCATATTAATTGGAAATAAAACAACAACAACAAAACAATCTCCATGAAAAAAAAAAAAAAGATGGCAGCGATTTGGTGGGTCATACCTTCATCCAAGACAGCTTGCCACTGAAGAACATGCTTTGGGGACGAAGTTCTAACACTATAGGCCTGACATTGCCAGTCTCTGAATCCAGGCAAACCTGCAGGACAAGGTGGATTCTCACATATTCTGTATTGTTTTCTGGGACCATTACAATCCCTCGCTTCAGAACCTAACCTAGAAAAGATAGTATAAATCGTCATTTTTATCTCCTTTTTTAAAAAATATTAACTATCCATTTTTAATTAAAAATCATTCTGTTATTAATGTGTAATTCTTGCTGTCATATCTACTTTTGAGAAGTTGGACACATTAAATGATTGGTAGTAGCAGGAAATCCACACGTTTGTCTGGTAAAAAACTATGTATTTGTTTCTAATTCTTGTTCCATGTGCCTTCCAAAATACATGAGAATCGGAGCCGATTTGCTATGAATATGGAGGAGTAAAGGGAAGAGGCTGGAGATAAAAGAGAAAGTCTTCAGATTCTCATGAAGAAGTTTGGTTCTTAGTATCACCGAGGAAATATTTTCATATAAATTCTTTAAAACTGCTTGTGATGGAACTAACGGTGTCCCTGAGCTCCAGCCCTACAGTTAAAGCACTCAAGTTGGAATGATTTTTCTCACACTTCCCTAGCATCCTTTTAAAAATGATGGGGCCGAACAAGCTGATCTTGTAATAATCCCCATTTGTACGTGGGCTTAGCAAAGTTTTGTTTTCTTATTAGTTTTAGCTTTTCTTACCGTTAACTTTGTTCTCATCCTCATTCTTTCTGAAGTCCTTTCATTTTCCTGCTCTTCTCATGGTTCTTTTAAATGTTCATTTAATTATTATTTTTGTTTTTTTGAGACAGAGTCTCACTATGTTGCCATGGGTAGAGAGCTCTGGCGTCACAGCTCACAGCAACCTAAAACTCTTGGACATAAGCGATTCTCTTGCCTCAGCCTCCCAAGTAGCTGGGACTACAGGCACCTGCCACAACGCCTGGCTATTTTTTTTGTTGTAGTTTTGTCCTTGTTGTTTGGCAGCCCAGGGCTGGGCTCAAACCCCCCAGCCTGGGTGTGTGGCCATCACCCTAACTTCTGAGATACAGACACTGAGCCTCATTTAATTTTTTTGATGTCTATCTCCTGCTCTTTTAAATATGTTTCATTTGATTTGCTCAAGAAATCACTGTCATTTTTTCCTTATTTATTCTTAGAAGAGTTGGTGTTTATTTTCTTGTTAAATACAATTTTTATGTAAAAATAAATAATTTGAGGAAACTTTCTATTTTCCAAAGTGGAGTAGAGTTTTGCTTCCCAAAATGCTCTATCAGTAACCCCTTGGCATTTCAAAATTGAACAACAACAAAGTGTCCTCCCCCCACTCCCCCAGGCCAGGAACTTGGAGTTTACCCAGGACATCTGCGCTCTCGACTGCTGGTCCCAGAACTGCAAGTTCGGCTACAGGGACTCCACAGGCTCCACTCTCCAGCCAGGTGTTCAGGTGCTGAGGTCCTGCTGGTACACTCTCCAGCCTTACACCACTATTCCAAAAGTTATGTCTTAGGTGAACAAATCGGGGCACAACTGAAAATCATTCACTGGTCTATACAGTCACTGGAATTGCAGTTATAATCAAGTCTACCAGAGCCCAAAACACATAGAATTTTAAAAGACCAAAAGTAAAATTGGCACTTGTTTGTTGTCTTAGTCACATGATGGTCTAGTTTTCATAGTTCGTGTGTCACATCAATCATACAGTCTCATCATGAAAGCAGTGCACAGATGTTTATGAATCTAGCCCTGAGAAGTCCGTGAGTGTACTATGTAAGGGAGACAGGGCAAAGATGATGGGGAGGGAGTATGAGAATGGGAAAACTAACACGTTCTAAGAAGCAGAGTGTAATTTAAAGGAACAGGGAACATACTGAGTTATATGAGACAGGAAAACAGGAGATGAATGTATTTCTATAACTACATCCAAGCAGAAATTTAGCATTTTTGATTTGAAATATCAGGCATTCAGGGTACTCTTTCTCCTTGTAATTAAAATAAAAAGATTTAATTTTAGTCCCTTCCTTTATACTATTTTTATTTCTGAAAGTGTTTCTGTCAAGTTCAACCACTAATATGATAGCAAGCTTTCTTCTGAAAGCCAAGATTTGTTTAAAAGACGTGGGCAATTAGATGCTGATACTGTCATCCTCCTCCCCATTATTCCGTAGCTTATTGGATAACTGGGAAATATGATGGGGAAGGAAAGACAAGAGTGAGTCATTATCTTTTCACATGTTTTTTTATTAACTTAAAAAAAAAAAAAAAACTCTGTGAAGCTGCTTCTATGATCACACAGGAACAACTGCTTGGATCAGCAGACACATTGTTAAAAATAATCCTTACTCTTGACAATCAGAGCGGTAATACTCATAGGAAACAAGTTTAAGAGAACAAAATCATGTTGAGAATAATAAGTAATGATTAGGAACATTTAGACGGATGATCCTTCTAGGCCTAAACTTGCACTTGAGGGCGACATAATTTAAATAGGACTATGAGGAAATCACAGAAATACTTTCAAACTTAGCTTGGTCGTTTTCAAAATGTGAAGGATAATCGTAGTGTAGTTACTGAGCAGACCTTCTGCAGGGTTCAAAGAAATACTAAGCACAATTCAGAGACCATACTAAGAATCTAATATAGATTAACTAAATAATAAGAAGAACAAATTATTATAGGTATCACGACATTAATGTTATAAATAATAGTTTTCAGAAATCTAGCCAAAATTTTGTTCAGTCTGATCTTTACTGACAGATTTATAATTTGTTTTAATAATATATGTTTTTATTATTGTTGTTAGAAGGGAGAATTTAGAAGAGTATGCTATGTGGTTTTGTTTGGGCCCAGTTAATACTTTACTTTTATATGTAATAAAAAAAAAACTGGTGGGGTGCAGTGGCTCACGCCTGTAATCCTAGTACTCTGGGAAGTTGAGGCAGGTGGATTGCCTGAGCTTACAGGTTCAAAACCAGCCTGAGCAAGAGCAAGACTCCGTCTCTAAAAATAGGTGGGTGTTGTAGTGAGCACCTGTAGTTCCAGCTACTTGGGAGGCGGAGACAAGAGTATCACTTGAGCCCAAGAGATTGAGGTTGATGTGAGCTATGATGCCACTGCACTCTACCAAGATCAACAAAGTGAGATTCTGTCTCGTGAAAAAAAATGGCCCTTGTAGATTTTTAAAAATAATGTCAACATTAAAATTCAACCTCTTTTAGACTCAAATGATTTTAAATCTAAGTTTGAAAGACAAAGTTAACCTCAACAACCCAAGAGTGTATCAATATGCTGAAATTGCCATTAGTTAAATTGAGGTTTGTAAAAACACGCAGTCTAAAAATTGGAAATCGAGGGGAAAAATGTGTGAAACTTTTATAACACTTACTTGTTTTAAGATCTTAACAATGTTATGCCAATCATGGGGAAAAAAATCCAATGAGGAAGTGGTCACACTGTAATTGGTCCCATTGTTTTAGCCTACTTGAAGGGTGTTTATTTTTCCCAGAGTCATGTCACAGCTTTTTACCCATTTAGCAACAAGCTGGGGCTGGAGTTCATAGCAGACTCCTGTAAAAGTATTCTGGGAGGAATGGCACCCAGCCTTGGACATCATATAAACTAAACCACACCTGGCAGATGAAAAGAAATGAAAACAGATACATGAGCTAATTTTCATACAGAAATCAGTCAAATTTACAGAAAGAGAATAAAGGCTTAATGCTTGTAATTTTGCATCTCTGAAAGAAACTGCAGGATCCTGCTTTTGTGTCTTCTAGATGGTGCTATGGCTCAACATTGAGGTAAAGGTTAAATGTTTTATTTGAATGATTATACAATACATTTTATCGAAGTCACGTATAAAAAGATTTGAATGATGCTTGCCAGAAGCTTTCCAGCAATATGCTTTGTTCCATACAACATTTGCATGTTTTGGTCTAAAAAAAAGATATTACACAGGGTTTAAAACACTCAAAACTTGTCTACTAGTTCAGCCTGAATTATAAAAATGCCAAAGGAAAATATAGACTATTTCTGGAAATGTGCCTGCCCTAAAAAAACAAACAAAAAACCCCCCCAAAAACAGTTATGTTTATATTCCTGACTTTTATTATTTTTTTTTTTTGCAGTTTTTGGCCTGGGCTGGGTTTGAACCTGCCACCTCCAGCATATGGGGCTGGCACCCTACTCCTTTGAGCCACAGGCACCACTCGTTTCCTGACTTTTTAAGTGGACATGTCCAAGAAGTTCATGAAATCGTGTAATTGAAAGAGATCCCTGAAAATGTCACAGAAGCCTGATCATTTTCTGATCAAATCTTGTATATACCTTATAGAAGAGCAGAGAAGAGAAAAAGACAAGCAGCTCCCTGCACCTGCACACGATGACTGTTAGGATACTACCGTCTCCATTACTTCCTATGACAAGATAGGATGGTAATGTCTAGGATCCCAATTTAGGAAGCAAACAATTAAGTATATGACATAGAAACCTTCTGACCTATCTGAATTTCTATTAAATTGGCATTTTATTTTTGTTTTCTCTTCTTCCCATTCCTATCAAATACTGTACACACAATATATATATTTACCATTTTTTAATTTCTGTGAAATCCATATTTTTTGTATTATAAATTGAAAGATGATTTAAATTTTACAAAAATGATAGTATAAATAGAAGAGTTCAATAAAGAAAATAGAAAATAGTATTTATAAATAGCATGTAAAGCTCTATCTTGAAAATCATCTCCAATCACTGAATTCTATAGGCCCTTTCTCAGACTTAACTACATGCTCTTAGATGAACTAGATTAACATCGCCAGAGTGTTATAAATGACAGAATCCGAAGCTTTGTTTCTTAGTTTGCAATATACCAAGCCAGCAGTGTCTAGTGCAAGGTTGCAAGCATTCAAATATTTTGCACTACCGCACACAACAGCAGACTGTTGGAAGCTATTCTCATGATGGCTCCTGCAACAGCTGGAACAGATGATATTTGATGGAACCCACATGGCCTGAAAAACTGAGAGGTTCATCAGTTATTTCAAAACACAAAACACTATAGAACCTCTCAAAGAGTACTGTTACTATGATTACAGGGAAATAAAACATTTTATTTTTGATGAGTATTTACAATTTTGATTGCTGATAAAAAAAAGTTTATTTTAGAGCTCTCATGAATGCAAATTAGTCTCATAAATATGGGTAGGAAAAAAATAATAGTATAAAATATGCAGGATGCCAGAACATAAGAATGAAGAGATTTTTATACTGCTAAAGAAGAACTAAGTAGGAAGAATGGTTCCGTGATGTTTGAGGACTCACAGTAGAATGTTTGCTTATCTCTGAGTATTACTGCTTTTGTGTTTCAGGGATGATGAAAATTATTGGTGGTGCAGCTTTAAGAGTCAAGCAATAAATTATTCAGCATAATATCTTGAAGTTTGCCTGATAGACACACACTGATACACTTCTGTGTATAATTAAAAAAAATAAAACTGATTCAAATTCTGTTGCTCCATTTAAGCTCATAGAAAATATTTGGCACAATCTGTACACAACTGATAGCCATTTCACAGATGTTCCCTCTAAGGAACCATTTTCTTATTGATAGTTGAAACTGATAAAACATTTCTAGTCCTTCTTTTATACTTTGGATTTAAAATGATTTGTACATTTTTGCCTTTTTATAATTAAAGAAATTATAGAAGTAATAAATGGCTACATGCTTATGTCAGATAATCCAGAAATGTCTGCAGAAAAGTTACATTTACTCTTCCATTGCCCTATTCTGCATCATCAATTTCAATTCCCTCCCAAAAGGTAACTACTAGTTACTGTCTGGAGTTTATATTTTCAAACCTTGTTCTTTGAGCTTAAAAATGTATACTACGTGTGTTTTCATTTTCCTTAAATTCATAATGTATTATAAAGTATCAGTTTTACCTTATGCTTATGTATTAACAGCCATGTCTTATAAATCTATTCATATTAATACTTACATGTCTACCTGTTTTTTAATAGCTACACTGTAAGCATTCCTCCCTTGAGGGATATTTTTGTTTTTCCCCATTTTCACCATCTCAAACTTCATCCTTACATAAGCATCTTTGTGTGTGTGTGTGTGTGTGTGAATATGTTTGTGTATATCTGTGTGTAGAACAATTTTCTAAAAGTATATTTTCTAGATTTCCATCTATTTTTCAAATGAATGCGTTTTTTTAACTAACATACCACATTTTTTTCCTCAAGAAATGAACTGAAGTAACTTAAAGATTCTTTACATTACTGTTTATTTTCAAATGTAATAAACACTCAAGCTCTTCAGAGGCAAGGTTTCTGATCTTCTGATCATACAATTAATAAGTAAAGTGAGTGACCCCATTATGCCTTCACCCAGATAGCATCCAAATTGATAAATTATTGACCCTCTATATTTGATTAAACTGACCATATGATAAATACATGTAAGATCCATCTATTTAAAATCCTTGAAGGAAAATTAATTTGCATTAGCAATAATTTTGATCTGGAAATGTATAGTAATAAATTCCTGTGTCCTTATGAACCACAGTAAATTAAACTACATAGATGAATATTTGCTAACCTACAAATTGGTGACACTGACATTAATGTGGAAAAGGTACACTTGGTTGCTCCCCTGAGACAATATTTTACTTGAAAGGACTCAGGGGTTCTGAGAAATTTTTATCACTTTGGCTATTATTTGTGCTTATTTTACATTTGTTTAATTTCAAATGTAAAATAAGTACATTCAGGTTTTTTTTGTTGTTGTTAAAGTAATATTGGTACCTAACTCTGTAGGTTCATGATCATAATCGATGACAACTTAAAAACCACTACGTTGATATTAAAAAAAAATGGATTTAAAAAAATATATAAAATTAGAATGGATGAAATGCTAGTATTTATGTATATACTGAAATCATTCCATCAGTGTTAAAATGGATCCAGGGGCAGTGCCTGTGGCTCAAAGGAGTAGGGCACCAGCCCCATACACTGGAGGTAGCAGGTTCAAAAAACCCAGCCCCGGCCAAAAACAAAAAAACAAAAAAAGAGGATCCATATGTACTTGGCAAAAGAAAATGCAATAGCATTATTATTAAATTCAGGTGACACAAAAGACTTACCTTACCAGGGTCACAATCAGTTCCATCCATTGGTGGGTCTAGCTTGGTTCTACATTCTTTCTCGCCCTCTACCTTGCACCACAATCCCGTGCAAATAACATGCTGAAAAGAAGGACGCAATGACCAACAAGGGGAAGGTATCATATTTTTGAGGATAAGCCAATAATTTTTTGAGAGTGCTATTATGAAATAATAACAAAAGGAAAATATGCTTCAGATACTTTTAATATTAATCTTATAACTGGACGTAGTATATGGCTTATTTTTAATGATGGGAAAATTGACAGTTAACAATAGAAAACCCAATGAATTAATTGTCTTGCAAATTAAAAAAAACCACACACACACTTATGCAGATTATATAGATATAAAATAAAAATTTAAGCTAAAAATCATTACTTATACCATGATATAAAATAGGCTGGCAGGATAAATGTTTGTGCTTGTAGTGTGAATGCAGTGCCTCCTGCCCTAAAATCTATCTTCATTTATTCTTTGCATTATGCTAAAATTCATTAGTTGATCATACAGACCTAACCTCTGATGCAATACAACTCTTGGAGTGTATGTTTCTATAAATTGTCATCAGTAATTCACATTTTGGTATGAATGTGTCATAGGTCTTTGAAGTAAGGTGAAATTTGGGGGGTAATGTTAAAGGGAATAAAACAGTACTGAGATATTGTAACAATACAAAAAGAGTGAGGTAATGCAAGAAAGATTGCATGATTAAAATAGCAAAATTAAAGTTAACTTATGACCCAAATTGATTACATATCTAATGAAGAATATATTTAAATTAATATTTCAAATAGGTCTGTTACAACTCTAATGTTGAATTTGTCACAATTCCCTAAGTATTACTTCCCCATCTTTTACATTTCTGAACTGTAGATAAGCTCTTAAAATTCAGTACTCTAGGAGCCAACTAAAAAGAGGAACTACAGATCAATTTTGTAATGAATATAGATGCAAAAATACACAGTAAAATCTTAGCCAATAGATCACAGCTACACTTTAAACATATTATACATAATGACCAAGTAGGTTTCATCCCAGGAATGCAAGGCTGGTTTAACATAAGCAAATCCATAAATGTAATTCACCATATCAATAGAAGCAAAAAGAAAGATCAATAGAAGCAAAAACAAAGACCATATGATCCTCTCAATAGATGCAGAAAAGTATTTGATAAAATTCAGCATCCTTTTCTAACTAGAACACTGAAGCATATAGGCAAAGATGGCATTTTTCTAAAACTGATTGAAGCCATCTTTGACAAACTCACAGCTAATATCATACTGAAGGTAGTAAAACTTAAAGCTTTTCCACTCAGAACTGGAACCAGACAAGGAATGTCCTCTATCACCACTACTCTTCAACATAGTGTTGGAAGTTCTGGCCAATGCAATCAGGCAAGAGAAGGACAATAAAGAACATCCAAATGGGGTCAAACTCTCACTCTTTGTGGATGACATGAGCTTATACTTAGAGAACCCAAGGAACCCAACCACAAAACTCCTGGAAGTGATCAAGAAATGGCGTCGCCCGTAGCTCAGTGGGTAGGGTGCTGGCCACATACATCCAGGCTGGCTGGTGTAAACCTGGCCTGAGCCTACTAAAACAACAATGACAACTGCAACAAAACAACAAAAAATAACCAGGAGTTGTAGTGGGCGCCTGTAGTCTCAGCTACTTGGGAGGCTGAGACAAGAGAATCACTTAAGCCCAAGAGTTTGAGTTTGCTGTGAGCTGTGATGCCACAGCACTATACTCAGGGCAACAGTTTGAGACTCTATCTCAAAAAAAAAAAAAAAAGAAAAGAAATACAGTGATATCTTATGGTGTAGCCACCCAAGTCAAGCAGCTAATCAAAGACACAATTCCCTTCACAGTAGCTTCAGAGAAAATAAAATACATGGGAATATAGCTAACAAAAGAGGTGCAGGACCTCTACAAAGAGAATTATGATACCCTAAAAAAAGAAATAGCAGAAGATATTATCAAGTGGAAGAAGATACCATGCTCCTGGCTGGGAAGAATCAATATTATTAACATGTCTATTCTACCCAAAGCAATCTACGGATTCAATGCAATCCCCATTAAAATACCATCATTATATTTTGAAAAACTAGAAAAAATAGTTCTGCATTTCGTATGAAACCAAGAAATAATCCCATATAGCCAAGGCAAGTTTTAGTAATAAAAACAAAGCCAGAGGCATAACTCTACCAGACTGTAGGCTATTGTAAATCTACAATGATCAAAATGGCAATGTACTGGCACAAAAACAGAGGCACAGACAGTTGGAACCAAATAGAAAACTAAGAGATGAAACCAGTCTCTTGTTGCCATCTGATCTTTGATAAAACAAAAGTATACATTGGGAAAAAGAAGTTTAGGGAGGGAGTGAGAGTGAGGAAGAGGGGAGATTGGTCTGCTCCCGCTTAATGGGCACAATGTAGGGGTGTATGCCACACCTTTTGGGTGTGGGACCCAACTAGAAGATAGACTCTATCTAACAAATTCAAATATTGTGACCTGGTTATTTGTACCCTCACATTACCCTGAAAGAAAAGAAAGGTTGGTACTCTAGGATAAGAGAGTGATACATTTTATTTACTTTATCTGCTATGAAATTATTTCTGGGTCAAAATGTCACACAAACATATCTTATGATATTGAGGGTATGATTTAGCATAGCTAATATGCTTTTGTTTGCATATAACATTACCGGAAATTTACCTAGGAAATAAGCAGAGGTCAATTGTCTTTCCTGTGCTTTTGTGGGTATGTTTATATTTGAATTAACAGATTTCCAACCTGAGAATTTTTGCTCCTGAAAGTTTTTCATCCTACCACCCCCGAGACCTTTCTGTCAAGGATGTTTCATCATCAATGCCTATTAAACTAAAAGCAAATCTTCTGCACCTCCTTTTGTGCTGATACTTGCTTCTTGAGCATTGTTGGTGGTCTGAATCCTGCTCTTCCACCATTACCTACTATTCAGAATAGCAGGTATTCTAACTGATCCCTCCTGAGGCACCGAAAGCATTAAAAGCAAACTTGGCAGACTTTCAAGACAGGCATAGTCACGGAGAGTAAATCTCACACAGAAACCTCTTTTACCCTCTCTGTCTGCAGGTCTAGGGATCTTATCATAAGTAAATTACAGCGTCAGTCCTAAAAATCACTCAGATTCAGGATTTCAACCGCAAATATCACACACACAAAAGGAAAGAGAATGCTGAAGAAATGGCATGGGTTGTTTTCACCTTAAAAATTGACAAAGCTCAGATATACGATATTAGAGCTGTGACACAGCAAGCTGTTTGTAAGGAGTAGGATGGGGCATCGCATTAGAAACAAATGTTCTCCATATGTTACACAGTTAAGAATCTGATTTTCTTTAGCTTAGTTGCCAAAACCACTTAGTATGTCAGTTAAAGAAAGTTTCAAAGAACTTGAAAACTTAAAATGCTTTGTATAGGAGTCCACAACAGATCTGTCTAATCAGCATTTCCTAGCAAACTAATAAAAATAACACAATATTCACTTTTATTCTTTTATGTGTATAATAGATCATTGAAACACATAATATGAACTTTGATATTTAGCCAAGCTAGGCTTTTAAAATGTTTACATGAATGAACTATATATTTAAAAGGAAGGTTAACTACCATAGGAAAGTATTATAAAACATCTTCAAAGTTAACTTGCAATGATATTTTTTATGGTAAATACTTCCATTAATATGTTCTGAAATTTATGTTAAAAGGGAACGGCCATCAGTGCGTATTCAAGGAAGTGATAATTAGTCCATGGACATGTAACTCCCTGTTCTTCCATGTACTGCCCTCCAAAATACAATTTCAATAACATAACATTATATTGCTAATGCAATTCAGTTATGAATAATATTTTAAAAATCATTCTTTTCCAATCACAGAATACTTTACAATAATTATTAAAGATGGATTTCTTGTGTGTGTATTCATATATGTATGTGTGAGGGAGAGAGGAGGGGGGAAATAGAAAAAGATTCAAAAGAAGGAAAGTTGAAATCTCCTCCTTTGTAAACACTAATCACATTAAAAATCAATCACGTAGAAAGAGTAGGCAACATCAATAAACACAACATCAATACGCAGGAATAAACAATGAGGGCATAACTACAGAAAACAGAGTTTAAACAGAAGATAGAAAGATGCATCTGTTTTATGAGCAAAATTACATCAATGAACTTGACAGCTTATATGAAATGGATAAATATTAGAAAATTAAAACTTATAAAAATTGACCCAGGAAAGAAATAGAAAAGTTAAACAATTTTATAAGCATGGAGTTGTCAAAACTGAGTGTTCTATATCTTCCCACTAAGAATACACCTGGCCCCAAAATAATGTTTCAAGAAACTTGGATTCTAACTTACTAAAACATTCTAGAGAGCAGAAAAAGAAGGCACAATGTCCAAACACTATGATACTCAAACCAGAGAGGGATTTTGAAAGAAAGTAAAATTGATGATCTATCTCACTTATTAAGTTGGATTCAAATATGCTAGATAAATTTTAACAGAATTAAGCAATGTGCCATGACTAAATTGTCTTTTCCCCCTCAAAATACAAGATTAGTTGGGAGGTGCCTCTAGCTCAAAGGAGTAGGGCACCAGCCCCATATGCCAGAGGTGGTGGGTTCAAACCCAGCCCCGGCCAAAAACAAACAAACAAGAAAACAAGATTAGTTTAATATAAAAAGGAAATTCAAAGTTAACAAAAAAATTGGGATTTGATTGATGTAATTAAGCACTCCAATAACATAAAAATGTATGATTTTATATTTGTGAATACAAAATACATGATGCAATTTAAAAATCTTAGCAATCTAGCCATTGAAGGAAATGTCTTTATAATGAAAGGACATCTATGAAAAATCTACAGCAAACATCATTATCAACAGTGGAATATGTTTTCTACTAAGACCAGAAACTTCACAAAGATGACATCAGTGTAAGGAAGTGAAAACATGATAGATTACATATTCAACCAGGCAAATTAGAGAGAGGAAACTTATCATATACACTCCTGAAGTCAGCTAAAACT